GTTGTTTGTCTTGATGTGTTAGCCCTGCAGCAGATTGGTGATTTCTTCAGGTGTACTCTGCCTTTTGGCCCATGACAGCTGGGACAGCCACCCACCTCCGGATAAGAATTGGATAAGCAGAAGAAGATGGATGAAGAAAGTTTGTAAGCGAGTCGCTATATTCATTTAGTTTTGAAGTCCGGGAGAAGACAGCCCGCAAGCGGCATGCACCCAATCATAAGAAGAAGGAGAGGGACAGCAACTGTCAACCATCTATCATCACTTTCTAATGGCTTGTCCATCATGTGTCCAGTGCTAGGAAGCACAGCAACAGTTCAGCACCCCAGTGGAAGCGCACCACGACTGTCTTGTTCACTCACTGGTTCACAAACTCGGTGACTCCTTCAACTTTGCCATGTCTCATTAAAATTCCATAGTTCGTTACCATGTTTATTTTCAGTCGCAGTTAGTCTCCACCATATCTGCTCACTGTTCTACACACAGTGTTGGGAAGGTTATTTTTAAAATGTATTCCATTACAGATTACAGATTACAGAATACATGCCCCAAAATGTAGTTTGTAATGTATTCCGTTAAGTTACTCAATGTGAGTAACGTATTATGAATACTTTGGATTACTTTATATATTGTCATGCTTTTTACAACTACATGAATGTACTATTGCTGGGTGATTTATTACTGTTAATGAAGGCTGCATTAACTTCGAGTTCTGAAAGCAATACCAACTAGATTTTTAAATCTTAATATAAAATGAGTAACAGCAGGGCTGACATTGGGTAAGGCTGCAGTGATCTCATATTTCTGTATCAGTAATATGTTTTCTTTTTGTCTGCTTTCAGAACTGCACATGATGATTTGCAGCCAGCAGGTTGTAATGCAGTAATAGTAATAAATCACACAACAATAGCACATCAAAGATATTGAGGTGGCACATAACCCAGGTAGCTACCACAACTGAAACAAGGGAGTTGCAGTAGGCTAACATTAGTTTTTAAAAAATAACTTACTTCCAGATGTTTCTTTAGGTTGAAGGTGGAGTCTTTTGACGCTGAGAGCAGCTTGTTTGCTGGCAAACAGAGTTTGCATTGCACGGTCAGATTTCACCTATCCCTTTCTTCTTTAAATGTGAAGTGGTGTCGAAATTTCCAAGTAAGAAATGCATTCCTGCCCGTGCACTGCTGGTTCTGTTGTGCTGGCTCCGTGTCCATTGTGTAACTGATGCCACCAACATTAACAGGACGCTTACGTTAGAGCCTCTTATTGTGTGTTTCCTTGGGTTTCCGGCAATGTGTGGAATTACCAAAATCTGAAAGGGGATAGCCTAACATATGAAACAGGAAAAGACCGCAGTGTAATCCATTTATTTCAATAAATTAACTGTATTCTAATTATCACCTATTCCAGCGTTAACTGTAACAGAATAAAGTTACTCATATTTTGTATTTTAAATACAGTACATATATCAAAACTTCATAGATAGGTCAGCTGACATATAATAGGTAGGTATTGGTTAATTGGCTAATTACTTGGGCGTGACTTAGCCAATGAAGTTTTGACTGGTTAATTTGAATTTTTTTCTGTTTCCTGTCTTGTATTTAAGCAATTTTTTACAATGTTTTACTATGACCCTGATGAAGGCCACAAGCCGAAACGCGTTGGTCAATTATTAAAGTTGTTCATCTTCCCTCAAGTGTTGCTGGAGTTCCTACTTTGTGAATTCCCTACTTATGTCCAAAAAGACAAGTGGACAAACTAAAGGAACACAAATCTGTGCATTGAGAGAAGAAAACTTGAGTGTACAGTCTCTATAAAGAGCTATACACTCAAGTAAGGTGATAAAGATTTTGAGACCTTACTCTTCTGTCCTGCTTCACTGACCTCGAGCACTTACTGGGCTTAATTTGCTCTGGACCAGGATTGGGCTCAAACTAACTCTACATACTTTCTGAAATACTTAAAGTTCAATTAAAAAAAA